AATATTCTTTGTCTACTTGATGTTTCCTATATGGATGGTCAGGATTTACAGATTGCTTCCAAGAGGCTCTATAGTGCTCTGGAGCCTGAGGGCACATCCTCCACAGGATATACCTAACTACTACAATAGAAGGAAATCCAAATTCTTGGCACTTAAGGACCTCCAGAAGTTGATCCCAAACTAACTCTTTCTGATGTTACATAAATTCAACTGGGCCTCCTCATTGCTGCTACATGATCCTTTTAAATGTCCCTAAATGATTTACTATCCTACTTAACTATGTGGCTTTTCTAGACTTTTTCATCTCTTCAAACCTTCCATGGCTAATCTTTTCCTCACCCTCTCAGCTGAGAACTTTTCTCATATTTCACTGGAAAAACTGAAGCCATTCACTGAGAGCTCCTTCTTCCCTTGTCATGTCACATTATTTAAATGCCTTCCCCTATCATCTCCTCTGTTACTCCAGACTCACACAAGAAGGAGGCCCTTCTCTTTGCCAAGGCAAACCCCTCTACATGCACAAGTGATTCCATTTCATCCCATGTTCTCCAAAAGATTCCCCTCAACTCCTCAACTCTTCTTCAAACTCCTGTCTACTGGCTGCTTCCTTGTTGACAAAAACATCCACGTCTCCTCCATCCTCAAAAAATCCTCAACTGATCTGTCTGATAGCTATAGTGCTTTATTTTTGCTTCCTTTCATAGCAGCCTTCTCCTTGAGAAGACTGTCTAAAGTTGGTGCTCCAATTCTACCCTATACTTTCCTAGAAACAGTTTAAAGAAAATTTAGGAGAATTTTATGTGCTGGATTATTCTATAGAGCTATTTTATCATTTGTAGCCCCATTAGAAAACTTGTATACTGAAAATATCATCCAGGGACTTTTGCTTACAATGAGTCATATAAGATCCCAGCTTTCCCACATATACTCTGACAAAGAACCAAAATGGACATCAGATCAAGTAATGATTGAGAAATCCAAAAAGAAATAAAAAGTATATTTCTTCATACAACTCAGGACCAAAAATTAAAAATCAATCAATCAATCAATCAAATGGTCTGAAGCCTGTGAGCTTTTGAAAAGGGGCCCTAGCTAGCCTCCACAAAGATAAGCAAGCCAGAAACTTGCCACTGTTCTGACCAGTGAAACTCCTGGGGGGCCCTGAAGCTTTCAGTGCTAGAAGAGAGGACCTGCAGCGTTTGGAAGGGGAAGCTGCTGGGGTGAGAGGTGATGAAAACTCACAGTGCTTTGTAGAAAAAAGACCAGACATCTGTACTCTTCTGACTGGATTTGTTCCTAAGGACCCGGCAGATCACAGAACTCTTACCCTGAATGATCCAGGGGGTCTTGCCAGTATTATGCGTGTAGACATATAAGAGGAAGTAGAAGACAGTGGTAGGAGACCAAGAAACTGAAGGTCAGGATCAAATGTGACTTAATTAAGAGTGTGGGAGGGGAAGAGGAAGAAGTCTAACTCTGGCACTAAATCACAAATGAGGAACTAAGGCAGGAAAGATGACTAAACAAAAAATACTGAACATTATAAGGAAATATTATGGGTTAAAACATGCTCAAGATTTAAATCCAGAGGAAGTGAATAATTCCACAATAACTATAAGCAAAGCCTCAGAGAAAAAACAGCTTGGTCACAAGGACAATGAAAGTACATGGAAGAAATGAAGCAAGAGATAAAAGATTAAATTATAAGTCAATTAAGAGTTTTGGTAGAAAGAATCATAATGGGAAAAAAATAACTTCAAAAGACGGTGGAAAATCCTCCCTAAATAACAGACTCTGAAAACCAAAATGCAGCAAAGAGGACTCAGTGACTCCATGAAAGAAAAAGAAATAAACAAAATCTAAAAATTAATTGAAACATAACATTGGCAACATAGCAGAATATAAAACAAATCCCTTCAAATCAGCAACATTTCTATATATTATTAATAAAATCTGGCAGAAAAAGATAGGAAGAGAAATTCCATTCTAAATAACTAGAGAGTCTACAAATATATAGGGGTTCACCTACCAAGATACATATAGGAACTATATAAATACAACTATAAAACACTTTTTTACAGAAATAAAGATGAACCTAAGTAATGGAAAGCTACTAATATGGATAGGCCGGATCAATAGAATAGAAATGACAATACTTGGTGTCCTTTGGTATAGGAACTCAGGAAATTTTCCTGGACCTTGACAGGGATCACTTAAGATACTAAGGTCCCTGAAGAAATCTGGTGTGTCCTGTGTAGAAAGGAACACCTAGAAATTTTGCCTTGACCTCAGTCAGACATCCTTATGGGCTGAGAGAATCACAGAAGAGTTTTACCTAAAACAGTTTGGTTTCTCACCTAATTCTGTAGGGATGATTTCTAGTCAACCCGTGTCCCTAATCTCCGTGGGGAGAGGACTCTTAGACCCATTTTTGGTTCTGTTTTAGCACTTGGTAATTGACTTAGTTCAGAGTAGAAAGGCTTCTCTATAGGAGAGAAAGGGTGAGGACCTGCTCCCACTGGAGTCAATGAACCAGTGTTACTACAAGAATCAATCTACTATAATTTTAAACTGTGTTATAATGTATTTGGAAGTATGGAAGAATGTTAATTACCAGCTCTGATTATGAACTGTGCTACATAGATTTTTCCAGAGGCACTGGGGAAGGCATTCAAAAAGGAAATGAAGAATGGCCCCAAGCACTAAAAAAGCTTTGTCAAGCACACTCTAGTAGATTTTCTGAGAATAGCAAACATCAAAACTGGAGAGAGAGTATAAGGGTGGAAGTGACTGCGCCCACTCCACTTAAAGTGATAAAATGCCTTAATACTTTAACAAGGAGAAAACAAGTCTCAATTAATCAATCTCAGCCATAAGCTTTCATTTCAATCAGTCAAACACAAGACTTGAGACTAAGTAGAAAATTTCTTGGAAATGGAAATGACGACGATGTTGCACAGTAATCATGTTTGGATTGGTTGAGGAAACTTGGTCATACGCTGGGGTCATTTATAAAATATCTAGCTAGTTTAGAACCAGGTTATTCCAGAGACTGAAGTATAGCATTCCAGTAAAAACTGGAATGCTATACTTCTGAGGAGAAACCACTCAGGGAGGTAGGGTGAAGAGAGGAGGAGGGGCCCCTAAAGGGCTAACTTTAATCAGATAAACCTGGGAATGGAGCCATTACCCTCTATTTCTAAATTTAAAGCAATAAAATACTTAAATCAAGAACAAGGGTGACATTTCTAGAGTCTTATTTTTTTTCCTTTATCTTCTGTATTTGAAGAGATTAAGTCTGTCTCAGAAAAAGAGAGATGAAATCAAAGATGAGTTTGAAGTTCTACCTAACAAAAAAAATCTTAGGCAAGATACCTTTCTGACACTCAAAGATGGCTGTGGTTTCTGATTCACTTCCTGCATTATTTGTTGCTCAACAATCTCAGGGATGGCAATCCTTTCTGATGACACATGAGTAAAATATAGTAAACCATCTAATAAGTGATAAAAAGAACTTGTGACATCAACAATATCCTTAATGGAGCCTTACATGAAGATAAGAACTTGTAAGGAAGAGCCACAACAGCTAGTTTGTGGCTATTTACTTCTCTTCAAGAACAAGTCTTATAATATGCCCAAGTATTTGAATTGCTTTATTACTTTATAAGAATTTTTACAAATGTTCAAAAAATTATACTAGAATGATAAGGCCAGTAATCACAGAGGGCAGGAACCATTACGTTCTGTGACATTCTCAGAACCATTTATTCTTGGCTTTGTCTCTGCAGTAATATGACAGGGAAGCAAATTTTCACTTTAGGTCTCCTTGCTAGATACATGATAGGAGAAAAGAAGCTTTAACAACTAGCTTATTCAGCATATAATACAAAGAACTGCAAATATTATACTAATAGCCCTTTGAGACTTTTAGGATCCTTTCTCATGAGGAAAGGGGAGAGTGGCTGCTCAAAAGTTTCCCTAAAGGCTCTGAAAGCTGGTATAACTATCCAAGAGTCCAAAGTAAAGCAGAGAAAGGGGGAGCAGAAGCCATGATTTTTCTGCACATGTTCTAGAATGTCTTCTAGAATTACAGGAAGGTCCAAGAACAAAGCCACATAAGAAAACTTAGTTCCATTACACAGTTTTTCACTGAGTTTACTGACAATCCAGGGCAATAATGCTGAGACAAAGAAACTTATTCAGAATTGAAAGAAAATTTCTCCAAAAACAATACTATCAATGATTTGCCTAGGAACATTTAATCTCATCACAAGAAAAGTCTTTTAGTGGACTCTAACTTATCTCAAAGACAAAATAAGAGTAGTCTTATGTAAGCAGATGTCCAAAAGAGCAAGCTCACAGTTGAGATAACAACATGTATATGCGTTTGTTCTGGTAATATAATATAGGCTCAAAGTTTCATACTGTCTTCCAGGTTCCACCTTTAAACATTTCATTACATCAGGTAGCCTGCCTTCCCAATAGGGTAGGGATAGCTAAACCATGTCCCACAGTTGTAGTTGTAAGATGGATCTAAGAACAAATTCTCTGGCCCATCCCCATCTTCTTCCCATTCGAAACCTGATCTTATCAGTCTATTCTCTTATTGGAATACAGCACAACCCTGAATTATGTCACTGTCATTTTAGTAACTACACTCTCCATGACAAATTCATTCTTTGAAAACTACAGCAAAAGTCCCCGTGGTTATAGTAAGCTTCAATTTGCCTCTGGCCAAAGCAAAGAATAACACTTTATAATCTGCCTAAATCTCAACCTAGTATCCAATTATTCTGAGTTCACTGAATGTCCAATTCTCTCTGCACAGATGAGCAGAGGGTACACAGAGTTTAAAAATAAAACACAAACTAAATATATTAAAGGCAGCTCTGGGAGCATTCCTAAAGTAGGAGATAGAGAAAAGAAGAATGGGTAGAGAGGGGTGGAAATAGCCTGGAGTTCCTAACTTACTGGGAACTTTGTTCTGGGACAGGATGTACCTTATCCATGTGGAAGATCAAGTCCAACTCACACACATTTTCAAAACACTTGTCCAGTGTCTCTACAAAAACCTAGAGAAAGAAGAGAAACAGATTTAAATCAAAATGGAAGGAGTTCATGTATTCTTGAATGTAAACTTGTTGGGGAATGGGGCAACTGTAATTTAAGCTTACCCCTTCCTCTCAAAGGAATTCCAGCAAATGATCTTGTGTACTAGGCTTTTAATACAGTATTAACTAAACATGGGAATGAAAAAAGCTTCTGGGGAAAAAAAATCTCATATTTTAATATGGCCCTGTTATTTACAGGCACAGGTAGCATACTTTCTCCTTTCACAGGGTACCCAAAAGTTTTTAAATAACAAGGAGTTTCCTCTCTATTTGATCACCAGTTCCTTAATCTAAACTTTTGTTTGCCTGCTTCCCAAATTTTACCCAGTGGGTTGTTCAGAAGGACTTAACTCATAGCACCACCTGCTGGTCATCTGACAATTCTGTCTTAGGTATCGACCTTAACACCAGTGAAAGGACCCACCAGACCAGTGACTCCAAGGGAAACCATCTGTGGAGCTTTCCACCGAGGCCCCAGGAGAACAAAGGCACAAAAGAAATGAATAATGATAGTGTGGGGCAGGCAACTTACAAGATTAATCACCACTGGCTAAAGCCTGGAGCCATTTTACTATCACCTCACCCCAGGATCCCAGAATGATAGCTCTAGAGCCAAGAGGGAGCTCAGAGGACCATCTAGCCCACCAGTCATTGGTTTACCAATAAGAAAATTAATGCCCAGAAAGTTAAGTACGTATTCTGCTTCTCAACAAGTCCATCAGACATACCTGAATGAGGTCCAAGATCCCCAGTTCACTTTCTGAAGAATCCACGCAAAACACAAAATACAAAGTGGCATAGTGCCGGTAAATCAACTTGTAGTCAGAACCGCCAATCAAACTGCAGGAAAAAAAGACAACCCCCAGAGATAGCTGAAATACTGTGCTAGAGTAAATGTGATTTCCACTATACCACACTGCCTAAAAATGCACAGCACAATTCACCAGACTCACATTAAAATCGGGCAAGTGACACATACCCCTCCTCACAGGGAGAAAAAAGGGGACCACACAAGGGAACTGAATTTACAAGCACAGATAAGCCCTGGAAAAATTAAACAGGGCCTCTTCATGAACATCTCTGTCGAGGCTAAAGCCAAGGTACATCCTGAATCCAGCCTGACACTTAAAGAGCACCAGCCTGAAGTCACAGGACCCATCAGCTGACCAGACCTTGAAGTAAACGGAGAAAAAGTAAGCTGCTGGCTTACCTGCCCCCCTCTAGGAAGTTACATATGTTGTCATCCCGCTTGAGGACAAGGTGGAAAGTCTCCCGGACAATCTGCTGTTGAATCTCTTCTGGCTACAGGAAAAAAGAAAGAGGCAGACAAATCGATGGGTTTGAGACCCAAAGGGGCCACAGTTATGAGGGGAGTGAAGAACTACCAAAATCTGTAAAGCACACCACTCTGCTATTCCATAACACTGGAAAGGAGAAGTTTCCAGTCTTCACCATACACCTTCCCTACCATGTTCTTTTTCCTCTCCTCTAGTATCATCAGGGATTCACACGACTTGCCCTAGAACAGCAGTTCTCAAACTACTTGGTATCAGGGCCGATTTACATTCTTAAAAAACTGAGGATCCCAAAGAACTTTTGTCTATTTAGGTTATATCTATTGGCATTTAACTTTTTAGAAATTATAGCTAACAAATTTTTAAATATTTAGCTATTACTTTATTTAAAATAATTACATGTTGATATAAATTTTTTTATAAAAAATAATTATATTTTTCTAAACAAAAAAAATTTAGTGAGAAGAGTGGCATTATTTTGCAAATTTTTACAAATCTTTTTAATGTCTAGCTTAACAGAAGATAGCTGGATTCTCATATAAATGCTCTGTGAGATGTTTTGGTTGATGTGTATGAAGAAAATCTGACCTCACACAGATATGTTGGAAGAAGGAGGAATACTTTAATAGGCAAACAATGTATTGGTAATGTTATTATGAAAATAGTTTTGACCTTAAAGGATCCTGGGCTCTCCAAGAGTCTGACAATCACTCTGAGAGCTGCTGCCCTAAAACATCAAGTAGCTGCTGGTCAAGTCTCCACTTCTAGCATTATCATGAACTATAAAATAAATAGTTCCATGAATACAATGAGACACAGATCTTGCAACACAACTAGCCCCAGCTCTATCTCTTGATTAATCTTTTTTGAGACTTTGAACGGTACCTTCCCATACATAGTTACAATAATACTTTATTGTCCAGGTCACGTAACAGCAGTAAGGACTATCTCAAAGTTAAACCATTAATCCAAAGAGAAAGTTGAAGACATAACATTCTACTAGGGATCCAGGAAAAACCTCTTTAAACATGGCCATCACTTCTCGTTAAAAGTAACTTATTAGATCACGCCACTCTTTCCTTAATCAAAACTTGCAATCACTGAGGAGGATAAACATGGACATTTAGCAATGTTCCAAAAATGTAATTCTTAGAACATTTAAGCACACTTTGACCTCCCCAAAATATATTTCCTTAGTCTGCAGACTATTTTCCTACAATGCTCATAACCAACAACTTTACAGCAAGTATAGAATCAGAGGCCTAATTCCCCAAATACTTCTTTAGAAGAACTGTCTGCTGAGCAAAAATATACTTGCTCTTGTCACCCTGTCCCCATCTTCTAGCAATTGCCAAAAATACACATTTCTATAGGACATTTTAGAAAAATCCAATTAGCCATTTCAGCATTAGGAAGCAACTGTCCCCTCTAACCTCACGATGTCTCTCTGCCCGATACATCACATGTGTAATTTTGTCATATGAGTAAGGTTAAGCTTTGCTGTCTTTCAGAACAATGTGTACTCCTTGATAATTCAAGTTCTGATTTAACCTTTTAAGACTTTTCTGTGGAGATAAGTCTATGTGTTTGAACTCCCAGTAACAATCCCTCTTCCTAGCTGAATAGCTGAAGCAATGAATGAGACCTTGAGACCTAATGAGCAAACCTCAAGGTGGCATTCACTTCCAGTAAGAGCTTAGTGGATAGATAGTTAAATCTCAATCTGAAGAGCTATCACCATGGGAACTGACCAAAGTGTCAAAAGATTTAAATTTTTTGTTTTTTCCAGGAACTCTGATTTGCTCTGAATTTACCTTGAAGATATACCCTACTTAGGTGTGTATTTCTTTTTTATATATATAACATTTCACATTTATGTAGCATCTTAAAGGCATTTAACTATGTGACATAGGTATATCAAATATTATCATTTTGCAGATGGAGAAACTAAGACTCACAAAGGTTAAGAGAATTGTCTAAGTTCACATAACTAGGAAGTGTCAGACTTGGGATCTGAACCCAGACTCCTCCTGACTCCAAGTACACCTAGCTGCTCTTGGATGGTTTTGGTTAGAAAAGTAGAGTACATATCCTACACTTTCAAAGCACAAGGACTCACACTGCAGCCCAACAGTATTGTTTTCTGGGGATCTTTGCTTCTACCAGAAGGGTACTCCCCTTTACTTACCTCCACCTTTTCATTGATTCTGGATGGCTTTTATTCTATACTAGCATATGGAGATAATAAGGGACCTAAGTTAGTGATGATGAGTAGATGAGGGGTATGAGAAAAATAAATAGTGGAAGAAAATAATACAATTTTAACTTAAATCTTGTCTAACTTACAAAAACTCAAATGGATCAGTGATCTCATGGACTGGATGTTTCTCCAAGGCTGCATATTGTGAACCATCTATATCTGCCAATTCTGTGCAATTCTTTTCAACAGCCTCCCATAATTTGCAACAGAAGTTCTACTCAAAATGTCAGAGACCTTCCTGAAATTCTGATACATCCAGAATCCAGGGTAGCACCCAGTCTGTCCATCTGTTATCATTCCTTGACTAAACCATATAACTGGCCCATCTTCCTGTTATCTGCAACCTCAATAACATCTTTTCCTTCTGTTATTCTTTGAAGTTATTCATTGCTTATAGTTGCAGCCTGCTCACAGGCACCATATACCTCACCACTTACCTCTACCTTAAGGAAATTGCAAAGTCATTCTAATGACTCTAAGCTTCTCCTCAAAATAAAACCACATCTTTTAAATACCAATATTCTACTAGTGTTCTTGTATGGAGTTATTTTAAGACATGAGACATGGAACCCTGTACCCTCTGAAGAATTAAAAAATGATTATCAGAGGTCAGTGGAGAGACGCATGCTGGTTTTGAGACTATAGGTAACAGATATAATTTACATATTTCCATAAAGGCTATACACACACTTTTATCTTTTTATTTCTTTGTGGACCACCAATGAATTGATGCTACTGAGGTAAATAGCTTTTCATCTGGCACACAAACCATCCCAGAAGTTAGCGAGATTTGGGAAATGCTCTAAAGGTGTGGGTCCAAATTCAGGTTCTTTTATATCTCAGGACAAATAGCTGACCCTGGCTTGGCAGCAGGACAGGAAGTCTAATGCTATAAATCTCTCATCTACAATGTTATCACTTCATCTTCAGATGTCAATCCATTTGAAGCTAAATCCTGTGGGGTTTGGTCTAATGAAACCAACTCACTTTTTTTTTTTTGGTGAGGCAATCGAGGTTAAGTGATTTGCCCAGGGTCACACAGCTAGTAAGTGTCAAATGTTTGAGGCTGGATTTGTACTCAAGTCCTCCTGACTCCACGACCGGAGCTCTATCCACTGGAAACCAACTTACTTCTAAAGCTTCTAAAGCTTCAAGAAACCAACATTAAGACATTCTAATGTTTAATGTCATCAAATGACCCAAACTCCTCAGGACTAACTTTGTCTTCCTAGGATCAGGAGTGGTATGAAGAAAATCAGGATAGCTCATGATTGCTAATAGTAAAACCAGACTCTTTCTTCCACCTCTCTCATGAGTGGATATATCCAGAACTAAGCCCATAGGGTATGTGCCTACTTGTCTAGTACAGCAGTGTAAACTTAAACCTATAATCAGTTCCTCAGTATTTTGGACTATCCATGATCTAAACCCTGAAGATAACAGAGTATTTATACCAGTGAAGATTCCTTTTATGATGTTGCTACTATGGGGATTATAACTGTCCAACCTACAACAAAAGAGACTGAAGCAGAGCTCTGAGCCAATGGCACTTTAGTAAAAAGTCCATGATCCCCTCTAATGAAGTGGACCTCAGACCTTCCTCACAATCTGAGATGCTGCCTTCTTCCAAGACCTTGTTTTTATACGGTTTCCAGATATGCAAAAAAGGCATGGTGAAATACAGAATCTCTTTGGTTGACAAACCTTGCTCCTGAGCGCCAAAAATGACAACAGGACAGGAGGGAGAGGGGGGGTATCACAGGCTGGCTGAAGCATAGGGCATCTCCACTGACTAAGTGGTCAGAAGATGGTCACCTGCTCACATTGGACAAGAGAGAATGGTCTGGAAATACAAAAACAAATTGGAAGACTTTCCAAAGCATCAAGGCATCCCACTCATGCTGGGTTTAGACATGGAATCTGAGTTAAAACAGCATGGAGATATCTTTGTCAGCATTCTAGTGGTTGCACAAGTGAGCTTCATAACCTGGTAAACAAGTAGTGAACATTACATTAAAGTTTGAGGCCCACTATAAGAACCTATCAATCCCTCTATGATTTATATAGTATATCAAACTGATTAATATTGATTGGAATAGAGCAGTGGTCCAAATGTATTATTTCTCACACTACTATCTAGAACAGGCCTACACGACCTGTATCCTGCTTATGGCCCACAAAAAAGGCAGAGGAAAACATCCTCCGGCAGGTTGGGCAGGCCTGATCTAGAACAAGGATTCTTAACCTACAGTCCATACAGTACCGATGATGAGAATGCTGCCAAACTCCTGAAAAAGAGGTGATGGACTAAATATGCAAAATGCAAATTTAAATATGCAAAAAAAAATTTGGACATGGCCAATATGAAAATTTCATTTGCTCAATTTTGCATATTTGTTACAAGGATTTTCTTTTTCTCTTTACTATATTCTCTTTTACCAGTTAAGGTTAGGGGAAAATAGGAAGAAGAGAAAATAAAATGTTTGTTAATTTTTAAGAAAAGTTTTTAAAAAACCACAATGAAGATCAGTGAGAGCTAACCCCTTAGGAGGTTATAAAAATTCCCTCTCTAGAGGGTGCTGGACCAATCCTTCTTTGGGCTTACAATACAGGGCAGAGGGGGAAATGAAATTTCTCTCCTCTTTCCCCAACCCCTGACCAGAGGCCCGTTCCCAGCTCCAGGGGAAGTACATCACTTTAGCTCTTTGCCAAAACACCATTTTCAGCATTCTTGAAACCTTCTCTTG